AAGTTGTGTTTCAGGCCATCGAGAACGTTGGATTCCTGGCTAGCATCTCCCAATGCGCTCAATGGTAGTTGGCCGTATGGCTCTATCAAGACTGTGAATTGCCTTTCCATTGAACCAGCGAGCGGGTCGTTGAGGCTAACAGTGGGGAATGCGTCACCCGCTTGAAAGTTGATGAACTGATAATCGAAGTGAGGAACGTCAAATGGAGGGTCCCAGAATTTCGTAGTTGATAGATCGGGTTCCGGCGGCTTTTCGGGGTCGAGAATGTATATGCCGTCCGACTCCATGGATAATGAGACCTTGGTACTCGTCTCGACCCACGTGTAGTTACATCTCCAGATGGAGAGATGGTCAAGGTCGTTTCTTTCTTTGTTGAACTCTCCCCAAACGTAAGTTTGAAATCGAAATGGGGAGTATATGTAATCAGGAGCGCTCATATTCAAGCCAAGTTTACAAAGGCCGTTGATGGAATACGTGTTTCCTGGTGATTCAAGGATGTCCGAAAAGTATGAGCGGCCTAGTCTGTTCGTAGCGCTGCTCATGGAGATGATTCCCAGAAGCTTCGCTCGATTTCCATTAGGACAATCAAACGACTCGACCATAAGGACCTCGAAGAACTTGTCCTCCTCGGTGTAGTTCCTGAATGTGATGTTGTAGGTGCTGGCGGGCAACTGGACGCAGGTAGGGGCCAATTTGGCAGCCGGGACGCTGAGCTGGATAGAAACATTCGGAGAAACCTCTGTTCCTTGCAGTCCGTCAAGAACCGGGAAAACGAGATCATCGTAGGTGTTCCGTGGGTATGTCAAGGCTCCATCACCCTTACGCAGGACAAGGCTGCTCAATGAGTCTCGCGTTGCTGCGAAGGACCCAGCATTGTTCAACGTCATCTGACGTGATCCAAACCATGTTGTCTGCCGCAGCTGGACGTTCGTAGAGCTAGGCACTGGGTCTACGGTGAACATAACCGAAGCAAGAGTTGTCAGAAATGCGCAGAGGAAGGTAAGCAACTGTGACAGGGTGACAGCCCAAACACACTTTCGGACCGACCAGTATAATGCCCCTAGACCCATCATGTCGAGGTATGACATATCGAGAAGTCGTGCGCTACACGGTCGCAGAGAAAGGCTTGAAAGTGTTGCCAAACCTCGATATGCGAAGTCGCAGCAGCCGACATATAGAGCAACACAAAGCATTACCAGTGCTGGAACAGATGTCCACAGCAGATGCAAATCACCATCGGCATTTATAGAGGCAAGCCCTTCTTGTGTTTTCGATACACTTAAAGTGTAGTACAGCCCACCGATGATTCCAAGAATCAGGACAGAGATCGGCACTCGTGTCCATGTCCTCAGTACCAAGGGAGTGAATTCACAAGAGCTCCACTCATTGTCGAGACTACGCGACTGAGAAGCCATGATCTTGTTTGACAGATTCATGTTGTCGCGGAAGAAAAGCATGCTTCCGAGAATTGTAGCAGGGTCTCTGTGCCATACTGACATCCTCTTTCGGTAGCGAAGCAGAACGATTACGGTCAAAACAGCAAGCAGGAAGAATAGCGCTGTCATCGACAGTGAGACCCACTGGTTGACTGTCAGCCTTTCGATGGTGGCGATTGTTGTTCCAGTTGTTTGGGAATCGCTTTCTTCTCGCAGACGATAGTGGCCGATCAAAGGGCTCAAGATACTGCTCGTGTTCATGACCGCGTCGTAAAGAACATCATTAGTGAATAGTGATGGATCGGTGTCATTGTTCGTTCCCTTTCCGTTGAACTGGAAACCTGTAATGATCGGCCCAAAGATCGTACCGGTCCCTGAGCCAGCCCATAGACCAACTGTTTCAGGGATAGAGCTCCCCAACAATGACCAGAGGTCCGCGTTGACTGTTCTTCTGGACCCGCCCGGTATGACCGTCATATTCGGGCTCACACCATCGTCAACTATCTCCACTGGGGTTGTCCAGGCCGTCGAGGAGCACAAAATCGCCGCAAAATTAAGAACATCAGGGTGAGATGTATTCTTTGCTGACGGTCCAATGCGAGTTGCGTAGTACAAAGACTGGTTGTGTTGTTGTGGAAGGTTTGAGCACGGCTTTGGCTCATTAAGGAGGTTGTTGACATTCCAACTGCTCTGTAATGTCGTCTCGTTCGGGCTGGAATTGATCCACATCATTCGATCGGTGGTGACTGGGACAGACTGATCACAGCCCTCGAACAAAAGACTGGCGTTGAAGGCGTAATAGCTCCTGGCGGGACCTGTTTCCTTGAGGTCCGTATGCGAGTAGTTACTAAGTTTCAGACATTTCATCTCTGCAAAGTACCCATCGACAGTAACTGTAATCGGTTCCGTTTCTGTTCCCCGCCCGGAGCCCTGACGAAACGAGAACGTCTGGTAGGCCCCTTCCTTTGTGACCCCAAATGGTAGCTTCATCTCGAAATTCTGCAGGGCCTTTGCAATGTAGTATGCACTAGTCTCTCTGTTGGACATCGCTGGAGTACTGATATTGAACGAGTCGAGCACACGAACATCGACGGGTTGTTCAGCCTGAAAGCTGACCAGGCTGTACAAACTAGGGGCAAGAATAATCTGGATCTTGATGAAAAGAGACACAACAGCGATGATGAAGACAAGGAAGTGTCTTCTCCGCAAGGATTGATAAAGAATCGAAGGCGACAGCATTGCTGTGTAGTCGAGAGAGTACCCGTCTCTGCCCATCGATGGGTTGTCGCGGTAAGCGATCCAAGGCATATAGCGAATGGCTTGTAACTCGACTCTTGACCAGAAAATAGACAACAGAGTGAGGACTTGATTTATTGAATGTCAGCCTATCTTGACACAAAGTCTTCACAGTTTTCGCTTACTTGCTGTTGGGCCAAATCGCCAGAGGTAAACGAGGCTCTGCCGTGTGGTGACCAGACCACTATTCTGCTGGGAGAATTGAAACATGACAATGAGAGAGACGCCGAAGAGAAGGAACAAAGCGGCGAACGCCAACAATGTCCCTGACCGAAGCCATGTTGGACACCATGCTGCTGTGTGATTGGTAGTGTCGTCTGCGCTTCTGTCCTCGCCGCTAACGGACTTTTTCGCTAGGAAGCTATCAAGCTCTACATCCCGTTGAAGAAGTGGATGCGTTCCAACGATGAAAGCGTTCTTGTTGTTCTCCGTAAAATCATCATCGAACAGACTACGGGTATTTGTCGAAGACCGCGAATACTCCGACCTAGGCGCCATGTTGGGAGTAGCGGGGCTTAAGGTGCTGCCATGAAATAAACGGGTGCGAAAGCGTTCTTCTCCAAGAAGTTTCTCTATTTCTCAAGTTGAACGAAGCTCAAGGTGTGACATTATACTGTCAAGAGCGGCGGAGTCTGATTGAGGCAAGCAAGATCAGATTTTCGGTAATCGCCTGTTACAGTCGGGTGACCGAAGTGTCTATATTTTATCCAAGCTTCTTTAGCCTCCAGGCAAAAATTATCAGGGCGGGCTACTTTCTCCATATGATGATGGGCCTATGAGCGCCTCAATACTGAGAGACCCTTGTGTTATGTGTGTCAATGTAGGGGCAACCCCCGGGAGCCTTGCATTAGTTTCCGACATTTCGACTTCAGCTCCTGGTTTCTGTGGTGGCAGTCCGAAATATTTGGCGCGAAACGGGCGCTTAAAGATGACTGCATGATCCTTCGATGGCTGATGTGGCGGCTGGGGGCTAATTGGGTGCCTGATGCAACTCGATTTAGCGGCCGGGGTCTTCATTTACAGCAGGAGCCCATTGAGTTTGTCGTATGTTCGTCTCATCAGGCGCTTCGATCCTCTGAAAGCTTCATGTACAACAAGCAGGTAAATAGTCTAAATGTAGTGTAGAATTTGACACTTGTTACTTCTCAAATATTTATGCCAGATATCCTCTCTGCCGTAACCACTCCTCGGCCATTGAGGGCCATTTCGAGACCGGCATCCCTTCAGTGTCCAAAGCGAAGCCGTGGGGCGCGTCAGCAAAGACGTGGAGCTCGACAGACCCCTCCGCTGCTTGCAACCCCTGCGCAAGCCGGTATGCGTTCACCACAGGCACCACGGGATCGCTGGCAGAATACACAATAAAGGTTGGCGGTGCCGGGCGCAAAATCTGCTGATCGGGGATGACAACGTCGTAAAGCTCCTGCTTCGCCGGCGGCTCGAGGGGTGCCTTATTGGGAATAATGGTGTGCCCCTTGGCATTGGTAGAGATAGGTCCGTATCCAATGATGGCGAACTCCGGCTTCGGCACCGGTGCCCCGGAAGAAGACGCCCACGAAGCCGGGTACTCGGCCAGCAGCGCGGACGCAAGGTGGCCGCCGGAGGACAGACCGCACAACGCTAACCTCGCTGGCGCCGCCTTCTCTTCGATCAGACGCAACGCCTGTCTGGCATCGTCGACGGGGGCCTGAGGTCCTGTTTCTGCTGACGGGAATCGGTGCACAAGTACAAAGGCCTCGAAACCGAGAGAAGCGAGCCAGCGTACGACAGCGACACCTTCACGGCCTACCATGAGCTCGATGTAGCCGCCACCACCCAGAATGAGCACCGCGCGTCCGTTTGACTTCGCTGTTGGTTTGTATCCAAATAACCATGGTCTTGAAACTGCTTTGACAACTCCTTGATCGATAGTTCCTTGTGAAAGGTCGAGTTCGAATGCCCCATCGATGGGTTCGCTATCCCACAGCGGCCATGCGGAGTCCGCCGCAAACGATGACAAAAGACTCATTTCGTGAGAATATCCGACTTCGAATCGATGTCGCTAGTGACAGAACGAAAGAAACTAACGTGAAAATGTCGACCCCGCGTTTTGAGACTGGAGAGTTGGTCTGACGAGATGGAGTGATGTGTCCACGAGTTGTAATGAGAATTGGATCCTCGTGTATTTGAACAAGCGCTCGGTTTGCTTTGCCCCGATCAACCGAGTTCAACGCAAGTCTGAACCATCAGAGAACGCAGCATCGCCATGCCAAGTGTTACTAGCAAATCAGTCTATAGAAGTCGTGAGTAATGAGGAGCCGCCAAAGCATCGATCGGGGCTGAACAATATCTGTGCAACAAAATAGCATAAGGTCGCCAGAGACACCCGGGTAAGATGAGATGGGAAGACAAATTCATCATGAGCACGATGAAATTATTCCGCCATATATCTTCGACATCACGCGCATTGACAAGACCGTTGCTTCTAGGTGCTAGCTTGGCGAACATCGTCGGGGGCAGGTCGTCAATATACCCGTCGGATGGCGTTTCGACTGGACTCAGTGTTCTCGCCCCGAGGGGGTTCATCCAGGTCGTGGCGTTCCAGGAGTAATCGATCTTAGCCCAGGATTTACCTGCGTCCGGGAAGTAAGCCTCACAGTCATGATGAGCCAATCAATAAGAATCTGGATACCCTCCGTATTGGTCTTGCATCTAAATGCTTGTCGGTAAGCCGTCCCAGTATTGACTTGCTTATTTGCCGTTAGCATGCTTATCATATTGAGGAATTCTTTATTCTTCGCATAAGTGTGTCGTGTACTCCGAAAAGCCGTTACAAAATCCCCTCCCCCGCCGTGCAACTACTGGTGTTCTGCCGAATTGCTGAAGAACCTGGCCAAACCAGGAAAGACCCCAGACAACGCATGTAATCTCATCGATTGAACGCATATTGACGAAAAACATTTTGATCTAGGGAGAACTCGATTATATGATATCGCTACAATCAGGAAGATATTATAGAAAGAAGATCAAGACGCCTGGGCCAACTTGGATTTGCGGTTAGTGGCATTCGGAGTTTGAAACGGAACCTTTGATATGGCCAGCACCGATGTTCTCTACGCCCTTTGTACGATATAATCGTGGGCGCAAACCAGCTGAGCTTTACACACATTCAAATACTAATTTTTCCATCCATACCTTGTTGCATGAGACTGAAGAATGGTGTCGCCTTATGTTCTCCACGAGAGACATCTCTCCTAGACAAATCAAAAGTGAAACACACCGATCAGTGTCGTAGCGGAACTCTTTCCGAGTTCCGCCCTCGATTTGCGCGTGAGGAACCGCCGGAAATTCCGCCGCTAGCCCCGCCATTCCACCTCAAACAGAAGCATTTTGGACGCCGATAGCATTCGATCATTAGAAGAACCTCCGATCCGCGCCTGTGAAGAATTCCAGATCTCGATGGTTTTGAAGGGGGTCAAGTATTTTGGAAAGATCCTAGCAGTCACATATGGTACAGAAAGTTGCATGCGCACATCCTTTGCAAGCTCTTCCCATCTTTGTTGGAACGGGCAGTTGCTACATGATCGATCTACCTACGAAACATGCCTCTAATCGGATGTGTAATGTTCCCAGTGATAAATCATCTATAACTGTTATTCGCAGTGAGATTGTATCTCGAGGAACATCGACCTATGATGAGAGCTCTATTTCGACTTTCAAGTTGCAATAGTTGTGGTGATGTGAAACCCTGCGGACGCCGCCATTCCGCAAATATTTAGCTCAAGACCATCTATCCCTTCCAAGCTTAGTCCGGCTAGCAACCGAGTCAGGTAGGTTCCTGCTCTTATCTCCATTCCCATACGGCCGTCCAGTGAAGTGACTACAATTTCTGAGTCAGTACTTCATCTTGTATTCCTGGGGAAGGGGGTGTTGGAGAACGAGTGATCAATCAAAGACTCCCAATTAGTCAAATATCGAACGCATCCCGGGAAGGATTTCGGGTGTGACGCCGGCTTTGACGGATGGTGATCAACCCCCACTGAATGCCAACCTACCCCAGAGATCTAGCGGCTTAAGTTTGCGGGGTGGCGGGGGTTAATGTCCAGCCAAGATCCTTCAAAACCCCCCGGAAACCCTACCTCTCAAATTCCGCCCTTTTTCTCTCGACCTCTTTTATCGTTCGATTATCATTCGACTGCTTCGCTCAAAGAAGCAGGTCCCAGAAAAAAAGAACGAAGAAGAGAAGAGAGCGGAAGGAGATCACGTGCTATCACCTTTTACTTTTCAATTGGAACATGGATTCTCCAGAATCTCCCAGCTCGGTCGGCGGCGGCGACGGCCCGCAAGCCGGATCCCCCGGTTCTCAGAAGAGCGGAATTCCGAGTGCCCCAAAGACCCGGACCACTCGAGGGAAATACATTTCCAAGGCCTGGTAAGAAGACCCATCTTCGGGATTCCGACGTAAGCAGACGATGGTCGTTGGTCTATACTGATTACGTTTCGAAAACCTTGCAGCTTTGAGTGCCGGAAAAGAAAGAGCAAGTGTAATGGCAAGAGCCCTTGTTTCCGTTGCGCTCGTCAGGCATTGACCTGTAGGTCGATCTATTCCTCCCATTGCCGATACAGAGCGAAGAAGACTAATAGCCTTAGGCGCATACCCGGCCTCGAAGAAACCACGCAAAGACAGAGGGAATAGCGCGTAAGTATACAGCTTGAGATGAACACGGTATTTTGTTGACTAACCTAGTACTTAGTGATACCGATGCTCAAGCTATCCAGTCTCTAAGGGATCAAGTAGCTTCTCTGCAAGGAGGCCTGGATCAGTTACGACGGCACCAGTCCCAGCAGCCGTCGGAAACCCAGTCAAGCCCTCTCCATTGTGAGGTTGCACCAACAGTGCTCCAAGATCTCCCGGTCCCATTGGGCAATCCGGATGATCAAGTAGTGGACCCAGCACTTCAACCGGACCCCATTGTCGTAGATGTTGAATCCTCCACTAGCCAAGACGAGCCTCAACCATCCGCCAGTTACACCTTCAACATCAGTCTTGCAAGAACACATCTGCGGGCACGGGGCATCGGCACCGCCGATCACGAGACCGGCGGGATGCCCGGATCTGTTAATCCAACTCGTCCACCTTCACCATCCATCCAAACAGCCTTTGGGTTAGACGTCGGGTCAATAGATCCTTTGTGGCTAATCAACGAAGAGGAAGCTGTAAGGTTATGCAATGTGTATGAAGAAGAGATTGGCATTCAGTACCCCTTCCTCGACATTGGGTGGCTTATCGAACGAGTTCGAAGCCTTTACCATGCCATGAACAGCGGTTCTCGCCTTGGGTTTGCCTTTGCCGCAATCCCAGGGCCGACAATTATCGACCCTCAAGATCTAAGCTTGGTTAAGATGGTGCTATCTACAGCCTTGACTGTAGAAGCTGGAGGCTCAAGTCAACTTGGCAGGTCCCTATTCCTCGATGTGAGGAAATCATCACACGATAAGCTCTGGGAATCGGCGAGCATCAAGTCGACTATGCTCTACATCTTACTCGTAGGTGTCGCCTTTGATTGGGTTGAAGTGTACAAGAGTACTAACAATAGACCTCCAGGCTGTTTATAGCTTTATGACTGGTGATGATTTGCAAGCTTGGAGACTTGTCGGCATTGTTGCCCGATGGTGTTTGGAAATGGGCCTTCATCAGTCAGCAACCATCAGCAAAACCTTCAAGGATGCTGGGAAACGTAAGATGGCCATGCGGCTATTCTGGTGTGTCTATACACTGGACCGGCGTTGGGGCTTTGGCGCAGGGCTGCCCTTCGTGATGCATAACTTCGATGTTGACCAGCAATTACCAGAACCTGTGAGTTACACAAAACTCAGCCACGACGCTGCTACAGTTGTGAGGGAGATATTTATTAACCTTCTTAACTGCAGGATCAAGATGTTCCGTATCTCAGAGCCATGGTAGAGTACAGCCGAATTGGCGACAAGGTTTGGGCGACATCGTACAACTCAGCAAGAGCAACTGGCGCCATCAGAGATGACGAAATTTCCTACCTGCTGTACCGCATAGATCAATGGTATGAAGACCTTCCAGAAGACTTGAGGTTATCTTCGAATGAGCAGACGGCTAGTCCCAACACGAACTCTACGACATCTAGAGGTCTTCAACGGCTACAAGTCTTGCTTCATCTGCGAGCCAACCAGATGAAGATCCTTCTTCTTCAACCTTTTCTCCACTCAACATCCAGTCTCAAGTCAAACAAATCCAAGGTCCAGTCACTCGTCAACCTAGCCAAGGACACCATACAGATGCTCGACTCTCTTAATAAATCAACAGACATCTACCAGAACCAACAAATGTGCTTCAACCATTTCCTCGTCTCCGCTCTCGGAGTCATCTTCCTAGTCGTGGCGCTGTCGCCAACGGAACATGGCGCTTCGGTCCGCGATGAGTTCCACACCGCACTGGACTTGATCAGGGGTCTCAGCGCCAGATCCTACGTCTCAAGCCGACTCTGGAGGAGAATAAGCGACCTGCGGCTCGCGTGGCGAAAGCTGGGATTGAATGCTCCTCAGTCTAGGGAAGCCAGAGAGCCTAGTACGCAACAGGGCAACGCGCTGGTCACGCCACCCACCTCATCTGGAGGGATGGACATTCCACCTGGAAGCGTGCCGACAGGTGTCGATGATGGGTTGCGCGGCCCAGAGCTTGATGCATGGCCAGCTGGTTCGGGTGAGCCTTTCACCGAGGCTCAGATGGCGCAGGAGCTGAATGACTTTTTCAACTCGATAGATGGCGGGGGAGACTTTGGGATTCCTTTACCCGTTTTGGGTACCGACGGAGACGGCCTCGACCCAGAGAGAGGTCCCGAAGATGCGTTTCTTGTGGACGATATGAACGCCTCCATGGATGTGTCACACTTATTTGTAGATATGCTATGAAATGACATGATGTATCATGAGTCGTTCAATACTTAGCCATCCTCTTGAACCATGATTACGTGAAAGCTGCTGCATTTGTCGACTCTTCTAGATTTCGGCCTCTTTACGATGCATGATGTTGGCAAGAGTTGACCAACAGAGGGATCGCTGCGGCCAATGAGCAAGCTTCATGTCTTTCTGTTGTTGAGGAGCCTGGAGGACATGAGAATCGGCTCGAGAGCCTCAAGCTGGCGATGACTGCTCAGGATCTAGGCCAATTCACGACCATCTCTCTTCAAGCCCCTCAACTCACAACCTTCCCCAATTATGCGGAAGGCATAATACCATATTTACTACAGACAATGATTCCGATCAATGCCCGCATCTCTCCAACTCCAACTACTCCGTCAAACCCCACGTCATAGTGTGACCTGTGCGGCCTCCGCGCGACACCGGGACGCGGGGGCGGAATTTGGAACTGCTATTCCGACATCAAACCATCGTCTCGGGACCCCGCGATTTGGCTCAGGCCAAGGAGAGGACGAATCGCGGGGAACTGTGAATCCTGATGTGAGATTTCCGCCCAATGAGTTATCTTACATTATAAATGATTTTGCTCGTCTAGTCTGTCGTTGTCATCAGAACCAACAAAGTCAACGACCTCA